GGGGGGGGGGGGGGGGTAACCAGCGTCGTTGTATCCGCTGTGAAGCGGACGGTAAGGGCATCCCTAGCTGTCGGGTGTGCCGAACCCAGGGCCCCATGCGCAGATGCTTGGCATGCATCGATAGCTTGGCAGTCACGGCCGATGGGATTGCCAGCCAGGAGCACCGCCCCTCGGGGGAGCCCCACCCGATGGGTCTGTCTGCCCGAGATCGGTGTAGCATGGCCGTCTGGGGCAAATGCTCGCTCAGCGCAGCATGTTGCTGGAGATGCTCCTCGCCTCGGGTATCGACATCGGGGGGTGGCGGCATCGGCCTGCCATAGTTGGTGCTGGTCCGGCGAACGGATATTCCCTCGCACCCCTGGGGAGGCCCATGGTATGTTTACTTTTGTTCCGCGATTGGTCGCGAGGATTGCGGCGGCGTGCCTCGCACCCTTGAATGTGCTCTGGTCCCTCCATGGGTGCGAGCAGCGTTACTCGGCGGTCACAAACTGCCGCCACCGCCGCTGAGCAGGCAATCTGGTGTGGCGTTGGCCCGACAAAACGCACATTGGCCAGCTACGCATGTGTGGACAAGTGCCTTCGAGGACTTTTCCCAGATCTGTGCCTCCACATCGCCTGTGTCCCGGCGTGCGATCACCACATGGGTCCGGAGAGGGCCGAGTACACCAACAGAGGCTGCCCGGCCGATCGGCCTTTCCCTGTCCTGAGCCTTGACGTGGGCTTGAGTTTGCCACTCACCCGTCTATGTGTCATCGTCCTGATGGGCTACTGTCACATGCGCCAAGTGCAGGAGTCAACGGTGCGAAAGGCCGCTATCCCCCCCCCCCCCCCCCCCCCCCCCCCCCAACCAGCCGCCCCCCCCCCCCCCCCCCGCACCCCAACCAGCAGCTAAATATCAAAGTCACTTCCTTGCCCAGATGCTTTCTTTCGCACTTCCCCTTCCCATCCCGCCTCCCATCCGAACCCACCTCCCTGGCCCCCTCCAGCATCCTACAAATGAGCATGGTGGCATATTCCCCCCATGCCGCGCCGATAACATGCCCACATAGCGCCCATCGTATAACTGCTCTTCGCATGTAGAAAATGCCACATTGCCCAATGCGCTTGGCGGTGTGTCATTGCGCTTGGGAGCGGTGTGGTAGGGCGGGGGTCTTCGCTTTGATCGTATTCCCACCCAACAGAGCTGTCCCTTCCCGAATGTGTCCCGGTCAACATCGAGCGGAATTTTGCCCATGTTGACGTGGGCCCGGTTGTCGGCAAACAGTCCGGCATGCCATCAGCGCGGGAGGTTGGAGTTGAAGATCGGGCGTACCGAGGATGCCCCGAAGCTGTGGCCATCAAGCGCCTCGCCAGAATACAATGATCTGTCGGCCTCTTTATCCTCTTGTCGCATCCCCCTTCGCACCCGGCGATTTGATAGACACGCACCTCGACTCGAGCGAATTGGAAGGCGTGGCCAAAAAAAAAAAGGGCGATTCCCCTCTTCCAGGCTGAGGTGGCACCCTTGTGGAGTGTGCGCTGCTTTTTTTCTTCCCCGCGCCTGGCAAACATCTCCCCCGAGATGCTAAGCACCCAGCACGATGGCTCACGCGAGGCGGCTCGAATGCCATGCGTATGCATGGGCATTCGAAGTAACCTGTGTGTCCACCATGGTGATGCCCTTCGGCGTCCAGCTGGACCTCTCTCTTGAGGGCAGTGGCGGGGGATTGCCGCTGCACGAGCGCTTGGGCATGACAGAGGACCTTTTCACCTGGCCTCGAGGCCGTACATCCTCAGAGTGTGGCCTATTGTGACATGACGATCTTTAATGTGCCGGACGGCCTGAAGGGGGCCGGCCAGTGGATGGCCATGATCAGTGACCTCGGTGGGCCCAAGAACCGGCCCGAGCATTGCTTCGGTGCATGGACCACCAACGCCGGCCGGGTCAATGCCATGACGGTGGTACATGCCTCGTCAGAGGTGCGTGCCATTGTCCTGATATACCTTGGCCCTTTTCCCCGGACCTCCCTCCCGGAGGCTGCTTTACACCCCTACGCCGGGGGCTTCCGAGACACCTGCCGGTGGCCTTTGCTCAGACACCGCCAACGGCGGACATACACTTCCCCACCGACGTCTATGCAGCCGGAGTATCTGGAGCCGCCTTACTGGTCGATCGGCGGCTCTCGGCTCGCGCAATTGCACATGCCCCTGTATTCGCATTACAGGTGGGCTTTTATCCGGCATTACCTGTTGGATCTCCCCCTTGCCGTGGCGGTGCTTTCCGACATGTTGATCGAACAGATCGCCCAAGAGGTACATGCCAGCAAGCGCCCACACATCGAGGAGCTTCGGGAGGTCCGGGCCCAGGAAGGCACCTCGCCGGAGGCGGTGGATCAGCTTCTGAAGATGTTACAACGAACTGACGAAGAGCAAGCGCACCTCCGTCGAGCCATGGCGGTCCTCCGGCAGAAGCTGGCCGCTATATGTGCCATCTGTCCTCACGAATGGCTGAATTCCATGCAGAACCCATTGCCAGTCCCTGTTCATTGCAGCAGCGCCCGGAGGGAGGGCCCTGCCTTTTCCTGTTGCCGCTTGGCAGCGTGGCCCATCACCTGTGCTCTTCCCGGACGGGCCAGAAAGAGGCCAGGTGTGGCAGACACAGGCTCCTCCGAATTTAAGCAGGTTCCAACAAAGGGATGTGACTCCCCCCCCCCTCCCCCCCCTCCCCCTCCGGGCAAACACTTGCCATTAGTCCCGTCCTCAGAACCATCCCCGGGGCACGAGAAAATGATTGGATCATGATCGAGCGCTGCGATTGGGGGAAAAAAAAAAGGGCCCTGCTGTTCCCGGGAGGAGGCGGGGCCGCGGGCGATCGGATGCCCGTCCTCAAAATGTGGCCAGATATGATCTGCAACTGTAGTAGCCCCCTGATGGTGTGGGGTCTGGCCCATTGGAACCAGTCGAAGATGCGCCCTGCACGCTAAGGCAAACTGCCACGGAGTTTTCTGGACCCGTCGCCGACAATGTCCCCCGCCCCCCCCCCCCCCCGTCCCCCTCTACCAAAAACAGGAGAAACACCCAACGTCCCCGGTCCCGGGATCCACGATCCAGGCCCACACCATGCCCGCACTGCATGGCCGCCCATCAACGTATGAGATCGCATGTAGGGTGGTTTGCTCTCTTTTTTTTTTGCATTTTGAATTGTTTCCAACCCCTCCACCAGGAGGGGAGAATGGAGTGCGGCGCAAGCGCACACCTGACCGGTGCCACCGAGGGTAGGCCGCACACAGTGTGACGCTCCCGACGGGGAGTGTGGACAGGCAGGCAGGCGGACAGGAGTGAAGTGAAGGTGGAAGCAAGGACAGCGGGGGGCGAGGCCAGTGGCGAGGGGGGGGAGCTCAAAAGGGAGGCCCACCTAGTGGCGGTTCGGGGTGATGTCGGTAATGGTCGTCCCATCGGAGATGTACTGGCCCTGGCAACTCTGACACACGTAGATCAGAGAGAAGTCGGCCTCCGGCGAGCGGGACGCCAGGAAGAAAATGAGCGTGGTCTTCATGTTGCACAGCTCACAGGTGGCCGACCGCCGGGGGAGAGTCGGATCGGTGGTCACATCGCCGTACTCGGTCTGCTGGTCACCGGCCTGGCGAGAGATGTAGTTGGTGTAGACTACTGGCAGATCGGTGGAAACGGTCTGGAAGGTGCACTGCTGGCGCCGGCACTTGAGGATGAGGACCTTGTTGATGGGGTCCTCCTCGGGGTAGAGGATGTTGTTGCTTTCAAGCGGGAGGGGGCCGGGGGGGGGGGGACAGACGGGGGAGGGGGACATTAGACGAGACAGGGCGGACACGAAGATCCGGCGGCGCTAGCGGGGGGGGGGAGTATAGGTACCAGGAAGAACAGAAACGCATGGCGGGGGCGGCTCCTGGTGCAACTATTCGAACGGCGTCAGAAGACGGGAGATGGGGAGATGGGGAGAGAGAGAGAGAGAGAAGAAAGGGAAATCCGTGGGCGGGCCTCTCGGTCGAGCTGAAGGCACGACCGGGGACAGTGTCAGTGTCATTCAACGGAAAGGGATTGGTCAAAGAAGGAAGGAACGCGGCGGGGGGGAGACGAGCTTGAGGGCGAGCAAAATGGGGATGCTTTCGCCTGGGCCAGCTCAAAGGGGGCGCATCCAGCCAGGATGAATGCAAACGGGGCATGCCTGGGTGGTGGACTCTAGCAGCGCGACAGAGGGAAGACCGGAGCCTGGCTGGGACGGCCATGAAAGGTTGGCCAATACGAGGATGTACTCGAGGAGAGGGACGAGCTCGATCTGGCGCCCGGAAACACTTTGGCATGGTCCTCGCCCCACCCTCGGCCGCTCCCAAGGCCCGGGCCTCGAGCCTGCAGGAGCCGCAGGCATCTACCGAGGACATGGCCTCCAAAATGGAGAGAGAGAGAGAGAGAGAGAAAGAGAGAACGCAGGGAAGGCCCAGCGGGGAGACGCGGCTTCACGCACCAGGGGATCGCGCCGTCTAGGGAAGGAGGAAGGGCGGAGGAGACCTCGCGCGGCAGCGGCGGCGGCGGCGGTCCGGCGTCCAGGAGGGAGATTGGCACACGAAACGGGGAAGCAAAATTGGCGAGAGGAAAAGGCGGTGGCTGAAAGGGGGCACAGGGGCCAAGAAGGGAGGGAGGGAGGGAGGAGGGAGTCGGCTCTGGCGTTGCGAGTGGCAGGGCCGGAACACACGCGGGTCGGGGGGCGAAAAGTGGCCAGACCTCGTCTCCTCCCGGAGGCACTGCCCGACACTGACGGGGGGGGGGGGCAGTGAAAACCGGACTGGTCAGCGGGGACGGCGGGGGGAGGGGGGCGATTTACTTTCAGAAGGAACCGACAAAAGGGCGGAAGGGGACAAGTGGACAACTGCCACCGAACATGCCCTGGCGAATGGTGTTTGCCCGTCTCCTTTACTCGACCGGTGGCTAACGCCATATGTGAAATGGGAAGTGGGAAAATAACGGAAGACCAAAAATCGCCCTGAGGTGCCGACGCCGGGCACGTCGCAGAGACCATGACCCGCCCAATCTCCGAGGGAGTGTTTTGCCTTGCGCCAGTCTTCGGGGGCTTGCGCACGCACACGCATGCAACCACACACACACACACCCCCACACGCACGCACGCACGCACGCACATACTTTGCTCAGCCAGGCACCGGGGAGGGGCGCTCCCGAGGACGCCCCGCCAACAGGGTGGTGAGCGAAAGACAAAATGTGAGCAGGCGCTGCGGCTCGGCGTCCATGCAGACGAGGGGGTGTCGCCAGAGACGCATGCGGCACCGTGAGCCCTGCCCCCTGCGCGGACCACCATACACCCACACACCACCTGCCGGCTCCCCCCCCCCCCCAGCGGCGGCCATTGCTCTCGCTCACCATCACCGCGCCCCCTTCCAGCCGCCCAAACTGGACCACACACACACTCACAGACAACAAGGGGCCGGAGAGAACATGCCCGCCAGGCGAAAAAAGAGGGAAAACGGAATCCCGACAGGGGGGGGGGCGCCGCGGGCGGCGCGTCGCCGCGCGCACGCGGTGTGGAGGGAAAAAAAGAGCATACAAGAGAAGAGAGGCTTGGTGTATTGATTTGCACTGGCGCGACACGCATGCTTGCCCTCCGGGCCAGCCACCAGGGGAGGGGGGTGGGGTGGTGGTAGGAGAGAGAGGCCGAGGCCTGGGGGGCGACACACGGGCTCTCCACACACAAGGAGGCAGGAGGGAGCACACGCACACGACGGCACACGGTGCGCATACACACGCGGCGCACACACAAGGGGACGCACGCGCGCCATCTCGAAGGGCAAAATATGATGACGCTACGCCGCAGAAGGGGGAGGAGGAAACCCCGCCACCGGGCAGACATGCGTAGGGGGGCCGCCAGCCAAGAAAGCACGACGGAGATGGCGCGGAGGAAATGCGGAGTGGAAAAGAGTAGGGAATACTTACTCCTCGTCCTCGAGGGAAGCGAAGAAGGCAGCCTTCTTGGCCTCGATGCGGGCGCGGCGCTCGTCGTAGGTGAGCTTCTTGTCGGTCCAGCGCTTGTTCTCGACAGTGCGAGCGGGCTTGGCCTTGTGGACGGGGTCGGCACGGATGAGGGCATGAGCCTTCTTGTAGACCTCGGGCAGGCTCTCGGCGGTGAGGCCGGCCTTGATGAAGCGGGAGAACTGCTTCTTGTAAGCCTCCTCGTCCTCGTCCTTGAGGAGCTCCATGTACTCGGCGACGTGCTCACCGAAGATGCGCTTGCGGAGGACCTCAGCGTCGAACTCACCGGACTCGACGTCGAAGCCGGGCAGGCGCTTCTCGGAGTGGGGGATGGCAACACCACCATCGACGGCACCCTTCATGACACCGAAGATACGAGCACCGGTGGTGGTGCGGGCAAGACCGGTATCAAGGTAGGCGCGGAAGGGGCGGGGCTGACCGTCGATCTCCTCGACGTTGTAGACCTCGCCATCGACCTCGGTGGTACCCTCGTAGATGGAGGCGAGGTTGAGCTTGGTGAGCAGGCGGCGGGCAGCCAGCAGACCGACGGCGTAGGCGGCGGCGTAGTTGGTCAGGCCGACAGTGATGCCGAAGTTCTTGAGCTCATGAGCGTAGGCAGAAGAGACGACGTAGTCACCCTCGATCTTGGAGTAGATGAACTGGGCAATGATGTCGTTGTTGGTGATGCGGACGACGAAGCGGTACTTGGGGGAAGCATACTTGTTCTTGTCCTGGTTGACAAGGCGCTGACGAGCGTAGTAGTCAGTCTTGCCATCTGCGGGGAGGGGGAGATTAGTGGGAGGGGAGGAGCGGGGAGAAAGAAGGTGGAAGGGGGCGAAGGAAAGAGGTCAGAGGGTCAGTGACAGGACGCGACAAACGGGGCCACACACGAGGGGGAGAGAGAGAGAGAGAGAGCGCGAGAATGAGGGGGTGGGACGCACCGCGGCGGCGACGGTACTGAGTCTGGAAGCGCTTGAAGTAGGCCTTGTTCTTAACGACCTTGAGGAAAGCCTGAGAGACGTGCGACGCGCCGTGTGTGTGTGTGCGTGCGTGCGGAGGGAGAGTTAGCAGAGGGGCGGGAGAGTTAGCAAGGAGGCGAGGAGGGGAAAAGGGCCGATGCATGGTACATCCGACAAAGAGAGACGGAGGAGGGAGTGTCGAGGGGGGGGCGGGCAGAGAGAGCGTACCATTGTTACTCTATTGAACCGAAGAAGGTGAGTATGTCAACACAACAATCAGACGGTATAGGGGCCCGTGGTCTGGGGCAGTGGCGAGCAGGGAGGAGTCTCAAGAAAGGGTCACCCCCTCCTCCCTGGCGGCCTCACCCAGGAATGCATGCCGCACAGAGGGGGAGTGGGCGGGGAGGGTGGTGGGCAGGGGGGGGGGGCGGAGCGCCTGCGTCTTGTCGAACACGAGGTCGCCAACACACGGAGCGGGGCCACGCCGCACCACCTCCCCGCATCCCCCCCATCCCCCGCGCCCCCCCCCACACCCCTCCATACACACACACACACACAGCGCCGGGCTTACACCACCCCCCGGCCCCACCACTCCCGGCCCGAAGGGAGGAGCAAGAGACAAAAAAGCCCGCGACGCCCGAAAATCCCCCACCATCACACCGCGACCTTGCCCCAAGGATGGCCACATGCTGTCCCCCCACCCCGCGCGATAGGGCGCGGGCGACCGCGGAGGACGGAACGCTCCTAGACGCCAGGCGGAGGGGTAAACCCCATGCCGGATCTACCACGTCCCAAGGACCACGCAGGCGTGCGGCGCGCGCAGGGCGACGCCCACCCACCCACCCGAAACCACCCTGACGCGGAGGGGCCGGAACCTGGAACGACACCCACTTGTGCGCGTGTGTCAGGGGGCGCGCACGCCGGTGTGAACACGAATGGGCAGGGCCCGCCCGGAGGGAGGGGGGGCCTCCACCGCGGCCGATCCCAAAAACACCCGGCCTCGCACACACAACACGAACCGGGCCGCCGTTTGGCGCCACCTGGCGCAGAGGAGCTCACAACACTCGGACCCCCGCCTCACGCCTGCCAGGAGGGCATGACGAGGAGTTATGGTTGTGCGGGCGAGCGCTCCCCAGCCTCCGCGAGGCATGAACCTGCTAAACCCTCGGATGGAGGCCACTGGTCCCCGGTCCGGGCCCGGAGAGGGGGGCAGAGAAGCCCTGCCAAGATGAAAACTTGACCGAAACCCAGACCATTTAATGCGAGGAATATTCCCAAAGCTTGGAACTTGCATGTAGTAAAGTGCGTGATCCTGTGATATGAGCCTCAAATCACCCCGAGGAAGGAGCCAGAACGCTGGGATATCTGTTCCCCAGCTCAAGGGTTGGTAGCTTGGCGCACACACGCGTGACAATCTCCCTCCTGACCATCGCCGTTCGCTCTTCCCCTCGGGCATGGGTGTGCGAGTTCGACGAGGCACTTGAGCGATGATCATGCATGCCTCTCTGCACTTTGCTGGAGAGAGTGTGTCCGGGGGGGATCGAGCACTGGCGCAAAGAGTGGCCTTCGGTCTGTGTCCTTGTCCGTGTCTCTTTGATTCGCGCCTGGACAGGGGGGGGGCCTGGTCCAACTTCTGGCCGGAGCCCCCCCCCCCTCCCGCCCAGAGAAAGGCGCATGTGCATGCCCTGGCAGGGGCGAGAGCGTTGTGTGTGTTACACACCCAGGGGCGGCACCTTCAGCGGGTCGCCGATGTGCCCCCCCCCTACCGGGCCATCATCCCGACGATGCATGGATGGGAAGATGGTGTCCGAGAGCCCCCTTCTCCTCGGGCACCACCATGTCACTGCGGCCGATGCAGGATGGGCACGCAGGGCGCGCTTGGCTCCGCCGCTTTGCGGCCGGAGGCCCCCTGCTGTTGCGTCCTTGAGGGGGGAGGGGGACACCGCGGGGGTGCGCGTCCGGCGGCATGGGGCCGCCCCGCGAGTAGAGAGGAAGGACCACGGGGCATACAGCAGGCGGGGGTACGGGCAGGGACACCTATGCGTATGTATGCGTGGGGCCCCCGGCTATGGGTGAGGCGGAGCTGACCCACTCCCCGCCCCCCTTTCCGCGCTCCACCCTACCCGGATGGGAGGGGGGGGGGGTCGTACCGTTGTGTGTGTGTGTGTGTGTGTGTAGGCCGGTGGGTGGTGCGGGCCAATCGCGCGTGCGGTGGTTTTTCTTTTCATCGAGCCACCCCCCAAGCCCCGGCGGCTGGGGCGACTGCCAGGCTCCCCCCAGAGGGGGGCCTCCTGCCTCCCGGGTGGGGAGCCCGGCTCACGGCCCGGCATGTTTGCCGCACTGCCACCGCGCTGCCCTGGGGGTTAGACCACTCTGCCGCGCGGCGGGGTGGGGCCGAGCAGCGCGCCCACCACCCGTGCCGCTACACACGTTCGCGGAGGAGAGAGGCATGTGGCTTCTCCCACATTTGAGAGCCACTCTCCTGTATCCCGACTCCGCCCCATTTCCCAGCCTCCACCTCGGGAATTGTTTTTTTTATTCATCCTCGCCAGGTGTTTCAAAGATGGTATGACCCATTTTCTTTGAACACCTCCCCCTCTCTCCTCCTCCTCCTCCTCCTCCCTTTTCTCCTTGCACACGCACACACTGCCCCCCTCCTCTCTCTCTCTCTCTGCATCCCCTTCGATCTCGGTTGCGCGTGTCGCCGTTGCCCCGTGCCTCGCTCGTGTGTCATCTTCGTCAGTGCCGCTGCCGCTGCCGCGCCGCCATTGCCGCCGCCTCTCCCCGGACGGTCCCCGCCCGCCACTTGCGCTTCATGTGCCCCCCCCTGCGTTTTGTGATGCGGCGGGGATTCCTCTCGTCTCCTTTGGCCGTGCTCCTGCCCGGGGTAACGCTCTCCTCGCGTGGCAGCAGCCCGGCGGCTTGTGCGCGCGCGCGCGCGCGTGTGTGTGTGACGGCCATGGCACAGAGTCTCCGAGGGAGGAGAGAGACAGCTTTGCCCCTTCCCGGGGGAGACGCTTGTGTCGGATGTGCTCTGCATCCGCCATCTCTCCATTCTTGTCAAGCACCCGTGGGGCTTTGCTCGTCTTCTCTTTCCCCTCCCACACGCGGCAACGGCGTCACGGCAGCCAGCCCATCTCTGGCCTGCTTCTCGCGACCTCCTCACCTCCCTCTCTTCTCGACGTCCATTCGCGGTGGTGCTGACCTGTCTCTTCTGCTCGCTCTCTCCCTTTCCCCCCCCCCGCGCGCGCGCCCGCGCGCACGTACGCTCGTGTATCACACGCACCCAGGTCTACACTAAGTTCGTCGAGATCGGCCGTATCGTCCTCATCAACTACGGTGTCGATGCCGGCAAGATCGCCGCTATCGTCAACGTCGTTGACCAGAACCGCGCCCTCATTGATGGCCCCTCCATCAAGCGCCAGGTCGTCAACTTCAAGCGCATTACCCTGACCAACATCGTCGCCAAGGTCGGTATCAACTCCTCCACCCCCGCCGTCATCGCCGCTTTCGAGAAGGCCGAGGTCGCCAAGAAGTGGGCCGAGACCGCCGCTGCCAAGAAGGCTGCCAAGAAGGCCACCCGCGCCAACCTGTCCGACTTCGACCGCTTCAAGGTTATGGTCGCCAAGAAGAACGTGCGTATATCCTCGATATATATCTCTCTCTCTCTTTGCGGCGTGTGTGGGGCCGGCCTCCCGCCTGTCTGCTTCTCACGCGCGGGGGCGCCGGAGCGTCGCGTCGTTCCGGCGCCCCCGCGCCACTTTCGCCGCCTCTCTCTCTCTCTCGCTCTTCCAATCGTCAATGTCCTGGATCGGTTCCGCTGACGCGTTTTCCTGCCTCCGCCCTCCTTCCCTCTCTCTCTCTCTCTCCAGGTCCGCGCCGCCGTCGCCAAGTCTTTCAAGGCTGAGAAGAAGGCCCTCGCCAACTAAATGCAACGTTAGCTTTCGCCGCGCGCGCGCACCCTGCCGTGTGTGTCGGGTGCGTTCCTCTCTCTCTCTCTTCCTCCTTTGCGTGCGCTCTCCATCCACTGGCGTGCCATTTCCCCCCTCTCTACCACCCCGCCGCACCTCTCCGCTGACGCGTACCTCAGTGTGTATATGTGTGTGCTCACCTGCTTCCGACGCCGTTCTCTCTCTCTCTCTCCCCCCTGCCCCCGACGCTGCTCGCGATGTGGTTTCTCCTGGATCCCTAATGGCTTGGGCTCTCTGTTTTGGCGGCGTGCTTCCTCCCTCTCCTCCTACAGACACACAATATACGCTTAGCATAACTCTCTTCTTTACACAACAGAGATTTGAATCAGCCAGGGGGGGGGGCGGCGGGCGCGGGTGTTTGTGCCTGTCTGTGTCTCCTCCTCTCCTTTGCTTGCGCCTTCTCCTCTTGCCTCTGTTGCGTGCCGCCCGACCTTGCATGAGAGAGAGAGCCCCGGAGGCGAGGGAGACGGGCGCGTGTATTCTCGTTCACTCCTCGGGCGGGGTGGGTATAGGAGGGGAGGAAGGTGGGCGCGTCTCTCGTGTGTCTCCTCCGCCCTTTTTTGCCCCTGTCTTCGAGTTGCGTTCTCCCTTCCGGCGTCTTTCCTCTGGGACAGTAGCATCTGGGCTCTCTTTTCTCCGGGGTCGCGCGGGAGTGTGTGTGGCGTGGCCGGTTCTTCACGGTGTGCATGGTCTGCCGCTGTGACCGGCTCCCCCGTCCGTTGCCGGTGTGAAAGACCCTTCCCTGCGCACACACTGCGACGGCCCTATTATCCTGAGCGACTCCCGGGAGAGAGGACACGGCACACAAGCAGATCGCCGCTCCACTTGATCTGCTCTTCGGCGGCTGGCGAGAGGCCCCGCAGAACAGCGGGCGAGAGACAACCCATCCGGCATCACGGGTCATGGGGTCACGCCCGCCGTGGTCTCCGTTTCCGAGCACCCCGGCTCCTGCTTGGGGGGGGAGGCTGTCCGGGGGCACACGCCCCGGCCGGCCGGGTGGCAGCTCGTAGGCCAGGCGCGCATGTGCCAACGAACACATGGTGCAGCAGGGCCTTTCTGTCGCCCATACCAGACACCTTCTGGAGTTCTCCGACCGGGAGGGGCCCCCATTGGTGAGGCTGTGTCCTCGGCACGGCGGCGAGGCCGCAGGGTCGGAAGCGCGTGCTGCGAGCGTAAAGGCGTGTATTGTGCACGGGAGAGTGAGCGGGGAGGGGGGATGTCTGCTGGGGGGATAATGTACAGTGTGCGCAGGGAGCGACCAAGGGCAGGCAGGGCCCGGAGGTGGGATGCCGCGCTACAGATACTCGGCATCGGTGTCGCCACAATCCCGAAGGAGGGCCTCTGCCTCCGGGGTATCAATCTTGGGCGCGTCGCGCACGAGGCGAGTCAGCAGGATGCGCAGCAAAATGCGCATCAAAAGCAGGCTGCCGGGGGGAAATCAGGTTGTCAATATCGATGTGTGTGTGTGTGTGTGTGTGTAAGTATAGCGACTGGGTGCCATACCAAGCGAAGGTGGCGCCAATGATCAGAGCGACCCCTGTGCGGCCAAAATGGGCTGAGAGGGGGTTGGCGATGGACTCGATGCAGATGAAAACAACCTTGTCCGAAGTTGAGACATGTCTCGTTAGTTGTGTGCGCGCGCGTGGTTGTGTATCCACCGACATGCACCCTGTCGGGAGACATATGCTGCCTAAATGGACGCACCACGCTGCAAATGGGGACCGGATTGAACTTGATCCGGCGCGCGGCGATCGCGGTGTTGCGATAGGACTAGGTGGATCGGGCCGGGGGTCAGGGGGATGTGCCGTTCAAACGATGGGCAGAGAGGAAAGATGGGATTCCTCGCCTCGAGCGCGCAATTCCGGGCGGCAGGCAACATGGCAGCCGGGTGGGATCGCACCTTTAGCATGACGCGAAGGGAGCCGGAGAAGGCACTGTAAAGCCTGGAGGGAAGACGTGCCCGGCGCGAAACGCATGCATGCTTGATGGCGTCAACGAGCAGCTCCGAGAGGGCGAGCATCAGGTAGGGCTTGAGGAGGCTGCGTGATGGGTGGATGGTCAGGGGGAGGCAGGCGGGCGATGTGAAAAAAAAAAAGGAAGAAAAAAGAAGAGGCAGCCTTTCAGAGCCGTGAAGGGTGTTGCAGCACGTACGCCTCAGCAAAGTAGGAGAAGATGGCCAGCCAGCCGCTCAGAGAGAGGGGCGACGAAAAGAGGACATCCAGCAGCCCCAGCTCGGAGGCATTGCGGAAGGCAATGGCCGCGCCATACACCGCAATGTGGAAGCGCTCCATGGCATCTGAGTATGTATCGCATCCGGCAAATGGTTAGATGTCACCAAGAGGGAGTGGATGCCAGTGCTGTGGGTGTGCGCACCAGTGCAGGCAAGCTCGTGGATTCCGCCGCGGTTGAATTTTTTGAAGATATAGGCCTTGATTTCGATGAACTGCGTGCTCATCAGCAAGGCGCCGAGCGCACCACCACCATCGAGGGCATTGACAGCCACATTCAGCACGATCAGCTCCTGCAGCAAGACATGCGCATGCAGGGCTGCGTTGGCGCGTTTTTTTCCCAAAGGTATTAGCCGAGGGTCCAGTTCAACAGAGAGGCGGCGACAGAGGGAGGGAGAGAGGGAGAAGTATGTTCCACATGCAGGAGGACGAGGAGGAATGGAAGGGAAGCAGGGGGACGGGACACACCAGTGACCACGGTATAGGCCGCGGCCAGGTAGAAAACCTCACGCGGGGAGACCCCATGAGATGTGCTCGCAGCCTCAGTCCCGCCGGTGGCATGCGGCGGCATGGCCAGCTGCGGACTGCTGGACGGCGAGGCCCCTGGCGTGACTGCAGGTAGGTGGTCCTTCCGCGCGGCAGTCGAGAGGGTTCGTCCAAGATCAGCCCCAATCGGGGCCAAAATGCGTGCTGCAACTCCCAGCATGTTGACCACGACAAATAGCTTCATCGACTGTTGCCCGGCCCGCGTCGAATGGTATAGGGTCGAAGATTCGAGGAGGCGGAACCGGTACACCAGGATCGGCAAGATGATGGGCAAAAAAGCTGGGAGGTGCGCCGCGGCACTGAACAGGAGACCGGGGCAGGGGGAGCAAGTGTGTGTGTGTGAGAGAGAGAAAGAGAGAGAGAGAGAGAGGGGGGAGGAGGGAGATAAGTTAGAGGGCCTCGGTTGAAGGTGAGCTGTTGTGGCCCGGCCAGGTGCCCGCACTATTGGATTGTGAGCTCGCCCTGGGGGAGGGAGACCAAAAGCCGGAAGGCGGCCATCGGTGCAGCCAACAGAGCAGACATGGTGGTGTGCAGGCACACCAGCCATGCGAGGCCAAGGAACTTGGAGAGGAGAAAGGCGGGCCTATGTGTCAGCAATGCATGCCAGGGGATGGGGGAGATTGCGCGCAAATACGCGGGGGGGGGGGGGGGGGGGGAGGAAAGCGCCGGTCAAGCATACCCCTTCCAGACGGAAGGGCACATCGAGCATGCTCCGGAGGCGGGCTCGGCGCTCGGCCACCAGCTCTGGCGATTCATACAGATCACTGTCGATGTCATAAATGGTCTGACTCCGGCGGGTGGTGAAATCCTTTAGTCCCGATAGCGAGGCCCGTGGGAGGTGGACTGACAGCCGTCGAAGGCGCTCTGAGGGGGACAGGGCAATGCCCGACGCGCGCCCCCCAGGGCCATCTGACGAGGATGGCGAGCGTGAGAACATGGCCAGGAGGTGTCGAGAAAGGGGGCCATGCAACGGCCGGCCGAGAGAACATACACTGTCCAGGCTCCGTGCGTATTGTTGATGTGAGCGAGGGCCGGGGGGGGCGGCTTATCCCGGCACCAGCGGGGCGCTCGAGGATGGTGTGCGGCCTCTCCGTCCGACGCTGGTGTGTGGTGAGGGGCGAGCTCGGCACCGAGGAGGACATGCCTGCATCGGCCGCAGCGTGGGTGTTTGTCCAAGCGCAAGTGTGGGGCGGCGAAGCGGAGAGAGTTTCGTGGCAAGCGGAGGGGAGGGGGAGGAAGGGGCGGATGGAGGGGGGGGGGGGATGAAGGAGGGAGTGTTGGTAGGGAGGGAGCGGGCTCCTGGGAGGCCACACGGTGCGCGGTCAAATGGGGAACGAGTGTAAGTGCACAAGCGGATGCCTCCAGTCTATCCACCGGTGTATGTCCGGGAGGCGTGTATGTGTGTGTGTGTGTGGGTGCCTGTGCGCGTTGGAGTTCGCAAGATGAAGCGGGCGTCGATCAACTCCCGACGAATGACATGATCATGCACGATACTATCACGCGCGTGTCACGCCGCGAATGGGACCAGCGACCAACGCATGGCTCAGGGGCGCGCGCCCTGGTATTACACCCAGCTCCTGGTCCGTTCACCGGGGGGGGGGGGGGGGGGGGGGGGGGGGGGGGGGGGGGGGGGGGGGGGGGGGGGGGGGGGGGGGGGGGTGACTGGAGTTCAGACGTGTGGGGGGGGGGGGGGGGGAGTCAACTCACCAAGGGGGATGCTGAGTGCTTGGCGTCGGAGCCTGCGCCTGCGCATTCTTGGGGGACGCCCTCCGGTTCGGACAAACGCGTGTTTGAGGGCGAGTATGAGCAAGCGTCGCTGGCTGTGTCTGGTGTGTGTGTGATATACATGTGTGTCTTCGTGGGAGTCGGTGCATACACACTTGCAGCGCGTGCGCGCGTGTGCGACCCCCCGCGAGCGTGAAGTCGAGCATCGCAGGTGGATGTGTGGCTTGGGAGTGAACGCCCCCCTGTGAATGTAGGTGGCCTTTTCGCCAGTGACGCGCCCTTCACACAGCACTTGGGACATCTAATGGGCTGGGGGCTTTACCGAGGCCAGCGCGCACACTGGCAGGCAGTCCGAACGCCCCCGGGGAGCCGAGTGTGGACTGGGGGAGAAAGGGCCTGAATATGCCTGGGCCTGCGTGGCCGTCCCAGCAGGTGTTAAGGTCCGCCCCGCCCCCCGCCCCCGCCCCCCCCCCGGGCAAGTGAAATGCTTGGCGGCAGTGGTTCTTGTCCGGCCTGCCAGATGATTGATCCGTGTGCGCGCTTTGAGGGGCCCGTCTGGGCCTCCCCCCGCGCCTCCCCCTTCGCCGGATGAGCCCGCGCGGGCACCTCACCTGGGCAACGGCCACCGGTGTGTGTGTGTGTGTGAGCGGACGCGGCCTACGTCACGCATAGGGTGCCAGCTTCCTCGGTCAGAGGCAGCTGTGACGACCGCGGCATAAACAACAAACAACCGGACGCCGGGGGCGAGACTGGTCCTTGAGCAGCCGAGGAGCTGAGCGCGCAAAATACGCGCCGAGGAAGGCATGAGCCGAGACAGGGGTGCGGGATGGGTGGGTGCGGGGGGGTGCTTCGCCACCGACCGGCCTGTGGCCGTGTCCTTCGGGCGCTACTTAATCTAATGGCCCGCCTCCGGGGGAATGCACTTCGTCTGTCTGGATTAAGGAATGCAACTGGCGGCATGGGGGGGGGGGGGGGGGGGGGGGGGGGGGGGGGGTGACGGCGCTCGTGGCTGGCCCGCAGGTCAACGTCCATTCCCGCGCCCTGGCAGCGGCGACAACACCCCCTTGGCGGGACGGGGCGGGGCGGGAAGGGAGGGGCTCTGCACCGAGGGGCGGCCGTGCGCGCCCCCGTCCCGCGCGGCCGCCCCGCCCCAGAGCCCCTCCACGCGACTGCCCTGAGATGCGGACTGGCTGCTCCGCGGCGACTCAGCGTACAGCCTGCGATTTTGGCAACAGGGGAGGGGGCGGGCCGGGCCGGGCCGGGGCCACAAGAAGGGGCTGGGGCCGGGGCGCCAGTCGCGTTACAGTTGCAGTTGCCAGAGCCGAGCTTGGGCAACTGCCTCTCGCCCTGGGCGACCTCCAGGTGTCCGCCCCGGAGTCGGGCCAGCCACGGCGCGGGTGCCCGCAGATTCAGGTCCGCCCGCCCCCTTCCTCGCCGGCCTCTTCGGGGTGGGGAACAAGCCGGGGCAAGTGGGCGAAGCGGCCTCCCCGCCCTTGAGACTCCTGCTGGCCTATACGCGCAGATGGGGAGGACCCTTGCCCTGTCCCCTCAACTTGGAACTCAGGGGTTCGCGCTGTGCCCTCCGCTTTCCAAGTGTTCAGGCGAACTTCACACATCCGCTGCCCTTCCCCCCTGAACTCCCAGCGCTTCCATCCGATCGTATCTCTGGTGGTTGATGAGCACTTGGAAAGTTGTGAGGCGAGAGAAAGAGAGAGGGAGAGAGAGAGAGAGAATACCATCTGCGGCACCCACTCCCGGCGGCCCCCTACCCGGGCCACAGTACCGCGTTCGTGGCTCAGGGAAAAATGGGGCGCCCGGGACCGGTGAAGGGGCGGAAGACCCCTTGCGGGGCTTGCAATGCAATATGCTCGAAATAATAATAATAAGACACATACGCCTGTGTGCACGCGGCCCCTCTTGTCGGCCGACAAGTCAAGAGGGGGGGGGGAGGTTGCCCGCAACTGCGTCCTGCCCTGTAGTCGCCACACCCATAAAAGGGGCGTTGTCGACCACCAGCGCGGCCCGGGGGGGGGGGGGGGGGGCAGCAACGGGGCAGGACAGACACGCCTGCGGGTCTTGTTCCGCCAATAATTGCCCCGAGTGTTCCCCAGCGGGGCGGGGCAGCGGGGGGGGGGGGGGGGGGGGGGGGGCGGGGGGGGGGCGGGGGGGGGGGGGGGGGGGGGGGGGGTGGGGCCCCGGCGGGGGGGGGGGGGGCGAGGGGACTCCCGACCTGCCTCCCTGGCCTCAGATATAGGGGGTCATCCACTGTCCCCTCATTCGAGAAATGGCCATCCCCCTGGAGGGGGGGGCGCGGGGTACACACATGTGGTCCCCCGGCGGCTGGCCCGAATGATGCCCAGCAGCCCGCCCCCCCCCCGCCGCCCAGGATCTTGTTTCCCGCTTGCGAGGAAGGGGCGGAGCATGCCCCGCCATATCCCGCCCCCGCGCCCCAGCCCCCTTTCGGGCACACATACAAGCTTTCATGCGTTCGTCGGGCGCATCAGCTTGGGGTAGTGACCAGCCCAGGGCTCCGTCGGCGGGCGGCGTGCTTCGCGGTCCCACTTCCGGCGTTGCATGGCCCTGTTCCACTCCCCCCCCCCGCCCCCCCGCGGCTTGGATGAAATCGTCCCCGGGCGTGGTTGATCAGCCGCCGCCGCCAGGGAACCCTCGGCCCCCCGGGCGATGTCGCAACCCGGCTCCTCTCCTCCCTCCTTCCATACGCGTGCCCCACTCCTCCCCCCCCCTCCCTGCCTCACCGCCCCACCGCCTCGCCGCTCCTTCCTGCCCCCTGTGAGGGTCTCGCCCGGCCCGCCGCACAGAGCCTTCTCCAGATCGGTCGCCGGCCCCGACCTGATCTTCCCCCGGTCTCCGCTCGCGCGCGCACCACATACACACACACACACAGCATGTCCTCTTCCTTCCTCTCGCACTCGCACGCCTCGTCGGTGGATGTCACAATCCCGACTGTGCGGACCCGGACGTCTGGGTCGACGGAGATCACGGTTCGTCCATGTCCATGCGCCTCCGCTGTGTCTCCGCGGACAAAGACCAGCCTTTCTCCCTGTCGCCCCGTCTACTAACTCCATGCCCCCTCTGCCTCCCCCTACTCCCTCCCTCCTTCCCCCTCCCCCCCTCTCTCTCTCTCCCCCCCTCGTCCCTCCTGTGCATGTTGTCCCTCCCTCCACCTAGGTTTATGACATCGTGCTGAATGGCAACCTCTTCTGCTGTGCTCGTTTCAGCGACCTCCACCGCCTCTACCAACTGGTATGTGCTGGCATATGCTCCTCTATCTGCCCCCCTCCCCCACCACCCCTCTGCGCCTGCTTTCTTTCACCCACTCTTGCTGATCATTTCCTTGCCTCTCCTCTTGTGGCAGGTTGAGACTCGCCTCCCCCCCAGTACACCCATCTTCCCACCTAAGCAGGTGGCTGCTTCTTCGCTAAAGATCAACCTCTTTTCCCTGTCTGGCTCGGACATTGAGCGGCGGCGGGCGCAGCTGGAGAGCTGGCTTCGTGTGGCCATTTTCTCCGCTCCGTCCCCAGCGGCTCCGGCCCTTTTCAACTCGCGCGACGTCCGCGCCTTCCTCTTCAGCGTGCGCCCTCTCTCCTCCTTTCTCTCTCCCTCTCTCCAATGCGACTAATCTCTCTTCCCCTCCCTTCCCCCCCCCCTGTCTCCCTGCCTCCCTCTCTCCCTCTCTCTCTCTCTCTCTCGCTCCCCCACCCCTGCGATGGCTTTCTCAGCTCCGGGACTCGTTCATCCGATCTTTGACCACCAGGCAGATGGTGCACGCCGTGGTGCAGCTTCCCCAATGCGATGCCGAGACGACGGTGGAGAACCGGCCGATCATTCTGCGCACTGATATTGCCAGCACCTGTCGCCATTTCACTCTCGGTGCCCTTGAGGCCCGGGACATGCCCTTTGGCCTGCTGGAGTGCATGTCCCTTTTCGTCGAGGGTCCCGACGGCTACGGTTCGTTTCTCACTCCACCTCCCTTACTCCACCCCCATCCATTGTACTTACCTCTGTCCTTCCCTCTCCCCCCCCTCTCTCTCTCTCTCTCTCCCCTCTCCTCATACGTTTCTTCCTGCTTCTCTCCTTCCTCCCAAACAGAGTACAAGTTCCTCTCCGAGGACTATCCTCTCCTGTCGATGCTGGTCCCGGAAATTGGCTCGCAAAACCCGGTGGCCGCAGCAATCTACCTTGGGTCGCTGCCGGCGGACCAGCTGGCACAGCTCCTGCAGGGCGTAAGCGCACAGGCGGCATCCCTGCCCCTGGACCAGCGCTCCCCGCCCTTCACCCATCCCCTTCCCACTAGCGACACCGCCTCGACCAACGGTCTGAATGGGGCAGCATCTGCCGAGAGTGCCGAGCCACAGCCCACTTTCAACCCACCGCTGACCATGCAGGACACCGGCTGGACGGAGCGTGTGCCGACCACCACGTCGGCCGAGCCGCAGCTTTCCTTCCAGCTCCGGCCGTGGCTTTTCTCTCCCGATGCCTCCTCGGACAAGTCCTTTGCCTTTGATGCTCTTGGCATGTTCCTCAATGACGAGCAGGCCGCGGCCATGCTTTTTGCCGAGGTACGCCCGAATCCCCCCCCCCCCCCTTCACTCCCACTCTTATGGAGTTTCTCTCCCTCTCTCTCTCTCTCCCTTCCCATCTCCCGTGGCTGGTCTGCTACATACATCTGCCGGCCTCCTATGACTCACCCCACTTCTCTGTCCCCTTCCCACGCACGATCTCCCGGTCGCCGACCACCTCACAGACCCAGAACAAGATCCAAACCGGTGTGATTCCACCTCTCTCCGCCGAGATGCGCCGCAAGCTGATGCGCCTGCCGCGTGAGAATTTCACGCTTTACATTACCTCGGTGTGTTCTCCCTCTGCACCAGGTTCCCTCCTTTCCTCTGGCCACTTCGCCCCGCAATGCCTCCCCCTCTTTCTCTTTCTCTCTCTCCCCCTCTCCCTCCCTCTCACACGCATTCGCACACATCCGACCACCTGGGCATATCTCTTCCTCCTTCGGTTGGCCATCACGACCATGAGCACAGTACCTCGAGGAGCTCTCCCAAATGGCCGGCTTTTACAATCTCCTTATCCCCAACTGCAGTACCAATTGGTTCCCCTCCCAGGAGGTAGTCTCGACACTCACCAAGCCCGTGGACTCGGTGGATACAGGCATGGAGTTCCGCTGTAATGTCATTATTGGACTGGCCGGCTTTTATTTGGAGCCGATCGTGGATCCGGAGCAGACGGCACCGGGGAGCCCTGGGGCCACCACGCCGCCCGGGCCTCTGCCCACCTTCCACATTGAGTGGAACCGACTGAAGTCCTGGTCTTCGCACTTTGCCAAGAGCCGTCTCGGACTGGAGTACATCCCCCCGGCCTTTGGAATGCCCACCTATGACTTCATCCCGCCGAGCCAGAAGCAGATGCACATTTGCCTGCAGACATCGCAGGTTTGTCTCCTCCGCATCAAATTGCCGTTCTGTCCACCGCCTCCCTTCCTCCCCCCTTCCCCCCTCTTCCTCTCCTTCTCGCTGTCCCCCATCCATCCATCTAACACCCTTCTCTCCTCTTCCGTCGCCCTGCTGCACATCGACCCCCGGTTCGCCACCCTCCTCTCTCCTCCCGACAAAACGACAGCATACGTCTCTCGTGTCGGCGCTGCACACGGTGGTGGCCATTCTCCAGCGCCGCATCAAGCTGTCCTCCACGTCGAACTTGTCGGCTCTGACTCGGCAGCCTTCAATCTCTTCGTCGTCCACCTCGTCTCACAAGCAGCGGCGACTCTTCTCCCGGAGGTCGAGCACCAGCTCCTCCAATAGTGCTGGCAGTGGCTCGCTCTCCTGGCTGCCTAACCGCTTCAGCTCCATGCTATCCTTCAGCTCATCAAGCCCCGGGTCGCCAGCTGGCCGCGGGACCGCCCCCGCCGCCGGCGGCCAGGGGAGCACCATCAGCATTGGCGGCACGTCGCTGGCCGACACCATCTCCGTGAGTGTGCGTTTTTGTGCCTGTGTCCACCTTTGTCCCGATCTCCCATGCCTGTGCTTCATTTCATGCCTTGCTCCTGCGCTTGGTTCGACGTCTGACCCTCCTCCTTCTCTGATTGTCCTCGCCCCCCCCCCCCCCCCCCTCGCCCTCGCGCAATCCCATCCCATCCTGTGGCCAATCATTTCCTCCCTGCAATCTCCCAGTCGACTGCCGAGGATCGTTACGACTCCCAGCTCTGACGTCCAAGCGTCAGCCAGAGGAAAAGCGCAAGGAGACATGCCATTCTGCCAGGCACTTCGTGTGACATGCTGCCCCGGAGTGCCTCTCCTCTTCCGACCCTCTCCCCTCCCTATCTACGCTGCGCTTCCTCAGCACCACACCGTGACCCGCGTTTGTGGTGATAATAAAAATGTTTACACATTTGTTGGGCGTTTTCCTTCCATGCCAGCGACGTGGGCTCTCCTCTCTCCTGCGCCTCTGCCGAGCTCCCCCCCCCCGCTCCCCTTTGCGTCGGCCCCGAGGCGCGGGAAAGGGGCCGAAAGGGTGAGGAAGCAACGCTCGCTCGCTCGTGCCTGGCGCGCCCCCCGGAGGATGGTTTTTCGGTTGGCTGAGATGTGATCGTGGGGAGAGCAAGTGGCGTTGGCACTTGGGGTGTCCTGTTGGCGAGGCACTTGCGAGCCTCTAACGCATATCCAACCGACCGCGATTGTCGGGCTCCCGGGTGAGATGTCTTTGTCCCGGCCGGCTTCCATGAGGCGGATACGTCCATGCGTAAAGGAGCTTGTGAATGGGGGCGTACATACGCACGGCGTGGGGAGACCCTGGCCTATCTGTTCTTTTCTCTGTCGCCCTCCCGTTCGAAGCCGAGCACCTGGCACCTTTTCCTTCTGCCGCTTTCTGGCATTTAGGCAACCATGACCGGACGTTTGCCAGCTCCCCTGATACACCTGACACACAGCCCTCCCTCCCTCCCTCCTCTCCCTCCCTCTCTCTCTCTCTCTCTCTCTCTTTCCTCACGCCCTCGCCTGTATTTTCCCCCTTCGGACCGCCAGCTAGCCCATCCTGAGCCTCCCTCCTCAGTCATCCCCCCGCCTGTCTTTCCTTCCCCCCTCTCGGCCCTTCCCTCCCTCTCGCTGTACCTCCCCCTGCTCTCGTGCGGTCCATGTCCCTGCCGGACAGCTCCTCCGGCCAGCAGGCCGTGGCCATTGACCCGAACAATGTCTTCTGCTTTCTAGATCTCGCGGTGGGCGACAAGTCCAGTATGTACAATTCACAAAGCCTTCTCACACCTCCTCCCCCCCCCTCTCTCTCTCTCTCTCTTCCACCCCGACACTTACCCCAATTGCACCCCCCTCTCTCGATCACTACCCTAAACTAGTGGGTCGCATCATTATCGAACTCTTCCGCGATACCCCCCTGGCGACGGAAAACTTCCGGGCACTGTGCACCGGCGAGAAGGGCGCCCCGCTACACTATGCAGGGGTGCCGCTCCATCGGATTATCCCGCACTTTATGATCCAGGGAGGTGACGTGACAAGCCGCGATGGCCGTGGCCTGGCTTCCATCTACGGCGAGCCGTATGTGGCCGACCCGGCGGGGTTGGCACGGCGGCATGATCAGGCCGGCTTGTTGTCATTGGCCAACCGGGGGGACCCCAATCGGAATGGGTCCCAATTTTTCATCACCCTGGCCGCGTGCCCACACCTCGACGGCAAGCATTGCATCTTCGGTCGAGTTATCGGCGCGGACGGCCTGGCCACGCTTCGACGCCTGGTGGCTGGCGTGACCACCGACGAGAAGGACCGGCCGTTGGAGCGGGTGTTCATCGCGCGTTCCGGCGAGCTGGCCTTCAAGAAGTCGCATGCCTCGGGCGCTGACGATGCACAGGCGGGCGACATGTCATCGCGCGATGAGCGCCGTCGAAAGCGTCGGCGTCGGAGCAGTCGCAGTTCAGCCGACGATGAGGATGACTCGAGCAGCCGTCGTCGTCGGCGGCGTCGCCGCTCTGATGGCGATCGCAGTCGTCGTCGGCGACGTCGGCGTGATGACTCGCGCTCTCGCTCGCGCTCTCGTTCGCACTCGGATTCGCGCTCGCGCTCGCGTTCGCGTTCGCATTCGCCCTCGGTCTCCCGTTCGCCGGTTGACAGGCGCCCTCGAGCTCCCCTGCCGCCGATTGACCGCCATCGCTCGCCATCCCCCTCGCGCTCGGCCACTGGTGCCAGCAGCCGCCCGGGCAGTGTCAGCCCCGCGCCTCGGGATCGGTCGCAGTCTCCGGCACGCTCGCTGTCGCCGGCAAGTCGGTTCAGCATGCCTGGCGAGCGCCTTTCCCGGCGGGATCGCTTCGAAGAGCGCCAGCGTCAGGCATCTCTGTCGTATGAACGCGGCCGTGGCCACAGCGGCAGCATCGGCTCCAGGCACTCGACTTCGCGTGGTGACCAAGAGACGCCCCGCACGCGCATCAACACCTCATCTGACACCCGGCCCACCCATGATGATGGCGGTCGTGGCGACAATGTGTCTTACCGGCGTGAATATGACAGCGAGCATCGGGCCCGGCTACAGCAAGCCCGCGCCGAGGGCCGTTATCCTAGATCCCTCCAGCGTGCGGTCGGCCGGCTGGGTAGCGATCGCCTGACCACATCTTCCTCTGGCGCGCCCACTGGGCGGATCTACAAGGGCCGTGGTACCATGGTGCGCCATGGCCTTCTGTGTCTGTCTTTCCTCTCTCTCTCTCTCTCTCTCTCTCTCTCTCTCTCTCTCACACACACACCCACCCACACACCCACACACGCCCACACCCCTCCCCCTTCCCGGCCCTCCTCTTTGCATCGCTCTTCCCCACGGCACAACGCGTGTAGCGCTTCGTCACCCCGCCGAAGTACCGGTAGGGAATGTAGTGCGATGTATTCTCCACACCTTTCTTCCTGCATGCGCTGATGGCGGCGTCACACTCGGCCCGGCATTGCACGCATGGCCACCTCTCCCACCGCCTTGCCTTCTCTGTTCAGCCTTCCCCTCAGGGGGGGGGGGGGGGAGAGGGTCCGACAATACGGGAATTGTCGCCCCTCCCTCTTCCGCTGGAATCCCCTTTCTTGCCTTTTCCTGCGAACTCCGCCCCCCCCCCCCCCCCCTCGCCGAGGGCCAGAGGACCAGTCTATGCTGGCGGGACCGCGTACGCCCGATCGGCCCACACACCACCCCGCCCTGGTCGTCAGGCTGCGGCTTGTGTCCTGCCCCGCCGGGCGTCCGGCGCCACCCGGCCCATGCGTGGGCACTCAACTCAGTGATCATTCACTTAATAGACACGTAGAGACTGTTCCTTTGGCGCAAGATCCCCAGTCCGTCAGTGGGCCTACCACCTGAGTTACGAGTCGTACGCGGCGAGACCTCGCCGGTGGGTTTGGCATTCTAAGTAGCATTCCTCTTGGGAGACGTGCGGAGGAGGCAGCACAGTGCGGGCGGCCACCGAGCTCGAGAACGGTGCACGCGCCCGACGATGGAGGGGAGACAGTCCAGTGGGCGGGCCTGGTTAGGGAGTCCTCAGATTTGCCCCTCTCAACCAAAGCCCAAAGTCTATTAGCGGGTCCCGCCGGGGAGTCTCCCGAGAGCGAAGACCCAGGGCAACTATGTGTCAAAGAGCATGCGAGAGCAACACCGAAGCACCGCCGGCGGACGGCTGTTCTAGGGGGCCCTTTTCAAGCATGGGAGGTTCTTTCTCTTTTACTTACACCGACCTGGCCTTAACCCGTGAGAGCACCACACGCCCCATGGTAATCATGTGCATATCATCCACTCCACGGGCCCCAGCCGGGCCTGCGGATGGCTGCATTAATCGCCGTCCTTCGGTGACTGGGCCTCGGACTTGGGGGAGGAAGGATATGGCCTAGCTGCCCGGTGCAGGGGACGGGTGGGGGGCCTCGGGCCGAGGGGGAACTCCCTCCCCCCCTCCCCCCACAAAAAGTGCCAGGTGGGGGCGGCGAAGGGATGTGCTGGGGAGGGGGGGTAGCAGGGCGCTTAGGGTGTGTGTGTGTGTGTCAACGCCAATCCGGCCGAGGCGGCGCGCGGAGGGGGGGGGGGGGGGGGGGATGGCGGCGGGGGGAACGCGTTTGAGTTGTACCCCTGAGCTCAGGAAAAAGTACCCCGTTCTCGTGGCCGTGCGGGAGGAACATTTTCCCAGGCCCCAACACTCGCTCAGTTTCCGGACTCCCGCCCCTTCCCTTGCGGTGCTCATGCGCAGGGACCCAACAGCGCCCGGGGGCCGTCTTGTTACCCTTGGAATGCTCTGCCCCCCACGAAAAAGCGCAAGAGACTGCTCCGGGGGCAGGGGAGTGCTCTCAAACTTGCCCTGTTGCCTCCCGCCCCCCTCCTCCGCGGCGGCAGAGGAATGTGGCTGGAGCACCTTCAGCGGGGGGCGATGCCGCCGCGGGCGCAACGGTCTCTCGTGCCTCCCTCGACTTTGGGGGCGAGCGGGCCGGGGGGCAGGAGGCGGAGGGGGGGGGGGGGGGGGGTCGCTGCTCAGTCAAAGCAGGATGGGCTCACCGGTCTCTCCTTCAAACAAAGTAGACCAGTAGCTGCTGGTGTGCATGTGTGTCTGTGTGTGTGCGTTTGTGGGCTGGGAGCAGGCCATCCCTTGGCCTGTTGTGTGTGCGCATGTATCCGGCGAGGGGGCCCGAGGCCACAGGCGTGGTGCCCCTCACGCCTTCGAGCACTTGGGCGGCTGCCCTGATGTCGCTCGCCGGTGCGGGCCGGCGACGTGTTTCCGCCGCCTGGCGGGGGTGCGCAAGCATGCGTTGGGTATATTCCGATGGGACCGGGGAACGCCCTGGCTTCCGGCTGCTCTGCTCGTCCACGCTCCCGTGGCCCCGGGCTCGAGACTGTCCGCCGTGAGGCGCCCCCCCTCCCACCAAACCCCGGTCATAATGAGCCACACTCCCATGCCGGCCCCCCCCCCCGCCTCCCCCCCGTCTGCTACAACGGCGGGCCACCTGCCCGTGGAGGTGGCTGATCATCCGCGCCCCTGCGGGCGAGACAGGGCAACAACACCTTCGCTCAGTTTTCCCCCCCGGACAGGGGGGCGGCCCTGTGCCACGAAATAAGTACCGGCATCCTGGCCTTCTCTTGGCGGCATGCGCAGCGGGCCGCCCCCTCCTCCCGAGGCCGATGATACGTTCTCCGGCGACCTCGGGCGGGCACGAGGGGGGGGGGACGGCATGAACAGGCAGGAGTAGGCCGCAAAAAGGCAGCGAGCAGCTCCCTGCGGAAGGGGAGGACAGTCGACACAGGCAGGCAGGGCCGCCTGGGGCAACATCCACAGAGGACAGACAGGCACGCAGCTCCCGCCTTTCTGAAGGCCAGCAAGACCCGGGGACAGGCCCACAGCCCCCGTGCATTGGAGGCTCCTCCCCGCACCTCTCTCTCTCTCTGTCTCTCCCCGTCTCGGTCCCCCTGGCGCGGCTAGTGGGGGCTGCCCCCGGCAGAGCCCCGATCGTCAGACTCGGCTGCTCCGTTGCCCGCGCGGAGGAATGCCCACCTCTGCTAAGGCCTCCACAATGTGTTGCCCTACCACTGTCCGCCGCATTGCTGGCCAAAATTACTTGTCCCGGGGGGAGGGGCGGTGTTGGGCGCGCCCCCGCCTTCCCCCCCCCCCCCTGGCCGTCCTCTGTGTAATTATTGTTTTAAAGCTGCAACCTCCTGCATAGGACGCCTTCCTGCACTCGCCCGGGTCTTCCGAGTTCCCGGGGACCGGGGGGGCGGGGCGGCACGATCGTCCGCCCGGGTTCGATCAGTCCCCCCCCCCCCGGCCCGGCCCGGCCCCTCATCCCGGAGGGCGAAAGGGGTCCCCGCCCTGAGGAGCACCACCGGTCCCTGTATTCAAAATGGATGCTCGTCTCGGTCGGGGTGAGGTACGCGGGCAGGGGCGGAGGCGGCCGTCCTGTTGTTCTATCCCCCCCCCCTGCGCCCTGTAGCCTCCCTCCGGCTCAAATAGCTGACCACACGGGGAGGGGGCCCCAGCCCATGGCTGGTGGGAAGCGGACACTGCGTGCCCCCCCCCCCCCCCCGGCGCCCGGTTGCAGAGTCTCGGGCATCGGGAAAACAATCGCAGTTGATCCTCCCACTCCTTGCCCGGCCCCTCTTACCGGGCCTGCTCGCCGTTGCTGCTCTCCAGCGGCCGGCAGGCCAGGCGGAAGGGCGGAGGGGGCAAGGCTGGCGGTGTAGGCGGCGGCGCCCTTCCGCGCTCGTCGGCCTCCCCGGCCGCCTGGTGGTGTTGATGCGAGGGGTCCCCACACCGCACGCCTTGTGGCGAACAGCCAGGGGGCCCCGGGCACCGCCCCGCGGGAGGATGGCGCGCGCCGGTCTCGCCCCATTTCCCCCTTTCCCCCGGCTCTGGTCGACCGACCATCGGCTGGGTAAGGGAGAGAGAGGGCAGGGGCGCCGGAGCTGCCCCGGACAGGGGCGCGCTTCTCCCCCTGCCCCCCGGCGCGTTGGCTGAGGGGACACAGAGCGGGTTGGGCAGGGGTCGCTTGACTGTAACAGGCGGAAGGGTAAGCAAGCAAAGGAGTGTATGAAAGGGGGAGTGGTACGGGTTTAGTGTGTGTGTGTGTGTGAGGCGGGCGGGGGGGCGCATGGATGTAAATGTGTGTGCTGTGTATGCTGGGTGTGAGTATGCGGGCGCCGGGTGCGGGGGATATATGGGCATTTGGCTGAAAGTACGTGGCGGCGCAGCGCAGGGCGCCGGCCGGCCAAGCGCCGGCGCAGGCATCTCCGCCCGCCGCGGTGGTGCGAGCTGTCTCTGGACTGCGAGCTGGACACTTTTCTGATCGGGTGCACGACCCTTGAGCGCGCCGCTCGCGCCACACTAAGCC